TCCCCCGCCCTTTTTTTAATGTATCAAACAATTATATTATAGGCATTAAAAATTGGGGTTTACTTTTCTTTGTTGTTTTACTCCCCCCTTTTCAATTTGCTTTCGACGCCTAAGACAGAGAATGTAACTGCAAATGGACTATACTGTACGGATTTGCCGATATACAGTATACTATATAATCTTTAGAAAACATAGTATATTGAGAGTATAGAAAACATGTAGTGATACTATAGGAGAGATCAATTAAACGTCGTATGCCTTTTTTCCGCGTGACAAGGAATTTCTGGTAGTTGATAGTGTGCCCAACTTAAAATATATGACTGTGCCAACAGTAGTAGGACTATGTATATAATTTAAGAAGTTTTTCTTGTGAAATTATAGATTGAAAAAGTTTCTATAATAAACATAATTATAGAAGACAGTTCCGCATTTTTGACATCATAACTTTGGTTTTTTAACTCAATATCCAAACACAGGTGCTTCGGGTCGGGAACCTTTTAATTTGTAACAAACTTTGTTATTGGTTGATTTTTACTTAAGTAAAAATATTTATTTGTGAGTAGAGGCCAGTGTTATATTTCTACTGGAGTAAAAATAATTAATTTGTGAGTAAGATGGCCAGTGTTTTATTTTTACTGCAGTAAAATTAATTAAATGTGAGTAATGTGGCCAAAAAGTATTCATACTTCAGTGAGAAATTAAATTATTTTTACTAAAGTAAAAATGATTTTTACTGGCGTAAAAATAATTTTACTGGAGTAAAAATATTTTTACTGGAGTAAAAATATTTTTACAGGAGTAAAAATATTTAATTGTGAGTAGCAATGGCCAGTGTTTTATTTTTAGTGCAGTAAAAATAATTTTAGTGGAGTAAAAATAAATAATTGTGAGTAGAACGGCCAACCATATTCGACGCCTAAGACAGAGAATGTAACTGCAAATGGACTATACTGTACGGATTTGCCGATATACAGTATACTATATAATCTTTAGAAAACATAGTATATTGAGAGTATAGAAAACATGTAGTGATACTATAGGAGAGATCAATTAAACGTCGTATGCCTTTTTTCCGCGTGACAAGGAATTTCTGGTAGTTGATAGTGTGCCCAACTTAAAATATATGGCTGTGCCAACAGTAGTAGGACTATGTATATAATTTAAGAAGTTTTTCTTGTGAAATTATAGATTGAAAAAGTTTCTATAATAAACATAATTATAGAAGACAGTTCCGCATTTTTGACATCATAACTTTGGTTTTTTAACTCAATATCCAAACACAGGTGCTTCGGGTCGGGAACCTTTTAATTTGTAACAAACTTTGTTATTGGTTGATTTTTACTTAAGTAAAAATATTTATTTGTGAGTAGAGGCCAGTGTTATATTTCTACTGGAGTAAAAATAATTAATTTGTGAGTAAGATGGCCAGTGTTTTATTTTTACTGCAGTAAAATTAATTAAATGTGAGTAATGTGGCCAAAAAGTATTCATACTTCAGTGAGAAATTAAATTATTTTTACTAAAGTAAAAATGATTTTTACTGGCGTAAAAATAATTTTACTGGAGTAAAAATATTTTTACTGGAGTAAAAATATTTTTACAGGAGTAAAAATATTTAATTGTGAGTAGCAATGGCCAGTGTTTTATTTTTAGTGCAGTAAAAATAATTTTAGTGGAGTAAAAATAAATAATTGTGAGTAGAACGGCCAACCATAGGCGACCGTTTCACTAACAGGTCGTAGCACTTAAGTGCGTTTCACCATAGGGGCTTGTCTTCCGGATTGTTAAATATAAAATATTTTTAAAAAAAATGTTATCTACATTAAATACACTCTAAATGTTGCTTTAATAAAGATTCTGACATGATCAGGCAAGAAAATTAATGTTTAAAAAAAAAGTACTACACCTATATACATAAACTCTCAAAGGGACGCAAGCTGACATCTTGGAAAAAATACCCCCTCCCACTTCAGCACCTATTTCTGGACTCTATGGCATTTATTTATTTCGTTGACACAGTTCCCTTCCCTACAGTGATGATTTTTCTAAATGATGATGCGTCTGTCAGTCGTCAATGCGCGTTCAGTCAACAGAAAACGAATACGATTTCATCGATTCGGCATCCCGTCTCTTCAAATCGACCTGGAGAGAACGGAAGTTTACAAAAACGCGACGCCTGGCGGTTGAGTACATGGAAACGACGTAAGGGGCAGATAATTTTCGTATATGAAAGAGCGCCAATATTCAAACTATTAAAACGTGCAAAATGTCGTCAACTTTCGTAGGAGATCAAACCCCGATAAAACTGGTTACATGGTAGGTAGAAATGAATGGTGAAAATACTTTCCAAGCCAAAAAGTGTAATATAGGCCAAAATTAAAGAGGTCAATCTGCCTATAACACAGTAAATTATCATGTATGTAATAAAAATATGAATATTATTTATATTCATACACTGAATGTGTGTAGACGAAAATCATGGGCCTTGGGATTCACCTGTTTTTATCAGAAGTACCTGTATAAGGGAACTATGTTAATTAATTAATAACTCATAGTTAAAAAATACACATTTTTAAATAACCTTTATTTTTTATTTATTTTTTTTGTTTTTAATTTTTTTTTTGCAAACTGAGATAGACATAATATAGGCACTGAAAAATACGACTTAGCCCCCCAAAGTTTTTTTTTGGGGGGGGTGGGTTTAGCCCCCCACTCCCTCCCCCAACACACACACACATATACAACATGTTAAATTTGAGTATTTTTTAATTTATGTGGAGACCCCCCACCACCACCACCACCGACTCCATACAAAGGCACACTCCCAAATTATGATGCAGATGTAAGGGTTGGAACTCAGAATCTATACACATTACAACAAGACATTTATATATGTGGTTTTTATAAAAGATAAATAAATTATTGGTTGTTAATTTCCATGAGTATTAAAATGAAAAATTATTATAGTAGATGTACTCGTCTAATCAAGAAACACCAATGCTCAGGCAATGACAAGAAGGTGCTATTCATTGAAACCCAATTTTACTTTCAACTAATTCATAAATTTATCCCCTATACTCTACGTTCAACTGAAACTGAAATTCAACATTTGTGAAGACTATGAATTTTTTTTTACAGTGTCCTTCTACATGTGTACTTACAATAGGCAGTGATTAGAGAATATTTCAGTAATATCTGAATTAAACAAAAAAAAAATGAATCAATTTTAAATTTACTTAAAATTATGCTTCAATGAAATGTGAATTTGAACTTCAATGAAGTATTGAACATTCATCAGTAAATGCAAGTATTACCTACTAATCATTGCTGGGAAGTTAAGTGGGAACCCTATATATATTGCACCATGGTTATTATATACATGTACATGAACTTGTAAGAAGTAAGAGTGATCTGCCCTTAGATCTAAAATGAAATAAATTAATATTTTAAGTTTATTACTGGATTTGTAATCAATTGAAGCATTTTGAACATTTCATTTGGCCTAGAGGAATTAACTCAACACTTTCTTTGCATGTTCTTCTCCAAGTTAAGAAAGAAACAGTTATTTACAGTTCACCAACAGTTCATAGTCATCATGGTCATTGAGTACTATCCTGGGGGTAAATGCATGGCAGATACCCTATGTTGAAAATTAAATAGATAAGCTCCATATTTACATCTTCATATAATTTCCTTTAAGTCAAAAAAAAAAAAAAATACTGAGGTTCCTTAACTTCAAACCCAAGAAAATCAACTGCAGACATGTTACTTATTGTTAGTTAATCTCTATGTGACAGATAGGATTAGACTCTAAGATTTTCTGCAACTATCAAGGGAACCAATGCAGATTTTTTATTTTTCTTTACAAATACATTTTTACTTCTTCTCCTCCTATAACTGTGCAGTGTAATTGCATTTAAAAATATATGTATAATTACTGTCTCTTAGGATGACAGAAAATGTGGGACCAAATACAGATGGAGAGATCCAACTTTCTGAAATTCACCACAAGCTTGAAATAAATTTTCTTCGACTCACATAGGTGGCATAATAAAAAAGCTTTATCCAAACATAACATCTAAAAAAGTTAGAAACAAATTCAATTGGACCAAAACAACAGTTTTATACAAGGGCATTTCATTTAAATCAATATCTAAAGACTTAGAAGAAAAACAATTGACAAACTTTGCCGATATTCAATATCATGGTGGGGATGAGGTTTTTAAAATTAAAGAAACTGACAAGGAAATTACAATGGGACATGTCAATGGACACTGCATCAATGGAAACCGTTTATTAAGTGAAATTACTTTTTCTTGGGACAAAAGTTATGAAATTAAACTATGTGGAAGAATTATTGATCTTGGAAGGCTTCATATATCTGACAAGTTTTCTTTAAGTGAGGAAAGTGTGCGCAGTACATTTGATGTCTTGGAAACTTTACGGCTGTGTCCCGGAATTCCTGAAAAAGAAATTAAAGATTTAACCATATTTGACACCAATTCTTATATCAAAGAATATAGGTCATTTTCTAATGATGAGAATTCAGGCTCTGTTTTCTATAGAATTAAGTCATGTCTGCAGTGTGTCACATTCTTATCCAAGGTGCCCTACTGTGAGAAGTGCAGAAAATTACTTAAGGGGGTCACACAGATGAAGAATGTCTCTGGTAAAGAAATTAATGCTGATAATGATACAGACACAGTGGAGTTAGATGAAAAAGATCATGATGACATGAAAACTATTTTGAATAGAGTATTACCCAATTGCCCAGAAAAGGCAAAGACATTTCTGTTATCACAAAGTGATAATCTAAAATCAACACCACATGCACGAAGATGGAAACCTGAAATAATAAGACTTTGTCTTACACTGTATTGCCGTTCACCAAGATCTTATGTTGATATGCGGAACAGTGGATTCTTGTGCCTCCCATCAAGCAGGTTAATTCAAATATATAAAACCTAGAATGGATGAGGAATGAAGCCTCTGTCCAAAATCTGCCCACAGAGGGTTATGAAGGAGGGCTCATCATCGACGAAATGGCCATTCAGGAAGACCTGGCAATCAAAAAAAAGGGTAGCATTTTTCAACTTATTGGTTTTGTAGATGGAAATCATGAAAGTTTTGCCATACAAAAAATCTTGACAAATAATAATGAAGTACAGTTGGCAAATCATGTGCTGCAGTTGGTTTTTTTAGGCAGTAGTGGGTTTCGTTTTCCCTTTGCTCATTTCCCCACAAAGCAGATCTCAGCATCTGAATTGTACATCATATTTTGGAAAGCTGTGAAAATGCTTGCATTGTACGGTTTTATAGTACGTTATGTCAGCATGGATGGTGCCCAAACAAATAGAGATTTCATGAAAATGCTACTTCTTGAGAAAAAGACTGACTCTTTTAAAACCATGTTAGTAACAAATATATTCAGACCTTCACTACCAAAAATCTCTGTAATAATGGACTATTCTCACGTTATAAAGAAAATTCGAAACAACTGTTGTAAAAGTGGTATGAGATCTGCACATAAGAGAAAACTGACTCACAGTTCTTCACTAATTTTGTGGGATCATTGGGTGCAAGCATTTAACTGGGATGTGTCTGAAAACCCCTATCCAATTCACCGCAAATTAACACAGGAACATTTCTTCCTTACCTCTGAGTCTAAAATGAGGAACCATTTGGCCGAGGAAGTCTTGGATAAGGATATGCTGCATCTGATGATTTGTTATCAAAAGTCCTTGTCAGATGCCACAAAGTCTGCTGAATTAAAAGGCACCATTGAACTTCTACAAAACACATCAGTATTGGTTACTATTTTTAGAGACGGTAGACCGGTAAAAGACTATGGGGATTCTCGACTACAACAGAATAGAGATGTCCTCTCATGGTTTCAGAGTTGGGAAACTGAAAATAAAAGTAATGATGAAATTAAAGAGAAAGAGAAATCCTTGCTTTCATTTCAATGTAGGGAAGATATTGCATCATTGTTGCTTGGTTTTGATGAGTTCTGCAAAGAAAAACTGAAAGTGAGCGGGGGATCTATCATACAGAATCAACAGTGATGTGATTGAAAATGTTTTTTCACAGCAAAGAGGTTTACATAATGGAAGCAACAGTAATCCTACATACCAGCATTATTGTAGCAGCATGAACTCTATCATTCTTGGGGAAACTCCAATTTCAAGGAAAAGTAATACAGGGGGGTCAGCTGGTAGTGGCTGTGAACCATTTCATCTGAAAAGAAAAAGTAACTCATCCCCAATGAAAACAGTATCACTGCCTAAAATGTAAGTACAAGTACTATGTAACTCTTTTATATGCACAATACACAAAAATAACACATACACAAATATACCTATAAACATAGTGGACAGATGTACTTGCTATCTTCACTAGTTAACTCTTCCCACAGTTTCTCATCCTCCAGTCCTACACAACTCCTGTGATACCATGAATCACAATCATCACAACAAATACAGTCTTGGTCTTCCTGAGACAGTTTTCCACACACTGAACAAAACAAAGTCTCATCACTCTTTTCACATTCTTCTGCTGATTTTCTTTTTTTCCTTCCAGAATAAACCTTTTTTCTCTTTCTTCCTTTAGTACTGTATGTTGATTTTTTCTTCCTCTTCTGATGACTAGGCTTTTCAACAGTTTTTTCTGTTTCTCTTTGAACAGGATTAGAATGTAACTCTGCACTGGATAGTGGCTGAACTGGAGACTGGGAAGTTTGTGTGACTTGATCATTGTTTTTCTCTGAAGATACAGATTCCGAAGAAACAGCAGCACATGAGGTACTGGCAGACATCTGCTTACTCTCTAAAATAACTTTAAGAATTGTTTCACCAATATCACTTACAGTCTTTTTTGTGCTAAAAGATAGTCCATATAGTTTGCCAATGTCTTTCAGTTCTTGTTTTGTGAATTGTTTGTAAAACTGATGATCCTCCATAGCTAGAGCTTTTAATCTTAGCTGACTTACTTCCTTGCCTTCTGATTTATCTTCCTGAATTTCTTTAGCAGTGATAGGTTTCTTCTTCTTTGATCCTTGCTTCATAATCTTTTTCCTCAGGGCTTTGTTCTTTTCAATTTTTAACACATTGATATAATTGTTCCGAAATTGTGAAACTGCAACTTTTAGAAA